CATTATGATCTCCATTTTATAGATGGCGAACCTGAGGCCAGTGATCCCAATTCACAAAGCTGGCACATGGTGGAGAGCCAGTGTGATCCTTGGTCTGGCAAGATTTAGCCCCAGTTTACCTTTTCAGCTTTATCCTAGCTACAAGCCTCCTAGACATGTGTACCCACATACACTCATGCACATACAGTCACAAACACTCTCAAATACACAATTTCTAATGAAATCCTATCACTCATTCAGCAAAAAAACAAAAAGTCCTTACTGAGATCTATATAACCTCCTCCCCCTCCCATTAGCTCTCTCATCTTACCTCCTATTGATTTCCTTCTCCCTCATTTAGCTCCAGTCACACCGGTTACTTTGCCAGGCTTACTCCTGCCTCAGGACCTTTGCACGTGCTGTCCTCTGTGTCAATAATGCTCTTCTCCAGAAAAACACGTCCCAGTCCTTCACTTCCTTCAGCATTTTACTCAACGTTCCCTTCCCAGTGGGGCCTTCCCTGGCCGTGCTATTTAAAACGTCACCCCCTGCCCTGGCGTTTCACATATTGTTTGCCTGCTTTATCGTTCCTCCTTAGCCCTTCTTGCTATCAGCCTTTCAAGTCCATCTCAGAATGTACAAAGAGAAAAGAGGCCCAAGAAAATGCACAAAAACAAAACACCCCATAGGATTTAGCATTCTAACCTATAACTAATAAGAGAGGATGAAATTCTGGCCGAAGTTAGAGTAAATCTAACAAGAACAAAAAAGGAGGTGACAGAAAAGTTACTCATTTAGGTATACAGGGGATTTTCTACTAGTATGTGAAGAGTGAGGAGACAATCCTAGATAAAAACACAAACCAGATTCTATGCAGGCTACTAGGAGTAGCTAAGAGAGACCATAGAGGAGAGGGCATACGTAATAGAGTTCAGCAGTAATACCAGAGTTTAAGTAATAAAATAAACTGGAAATTTCCATGTCAGAGTGCAAATACAATCTTGAGGATTTCTAGAGACTTGGTGGACAGTGTCTGGCAACTGCAACATGACTATAGAAGGTGTGCCTTTGCAGATTTGCTGGACCTGCAGGACATGGCAAGTCTTAAATGCCCAAGAACTCAAGGATGTAAGTCCAAAGGGGACTCTTTAGGGGTTATCTGAAGAAAGAAAAGCCAGTAGTAGCAACATGGCTGGACTGAGCCTGATGCTATCCTAACACAGCACAGAAAATATGGATGTAAGAGAAATTGTTTTCAGTTATCTGGAAATCCGTTGCAAGTCTCATTGTTTTTTTCTAAAAACATAACTTCTCTAAAATTGTTGCACACAAAATTGAGGAAGCTTTAAAGCAACTGCTTAAATTTAGACTTAAATTTGATCAACAAGTAAGGAGTCATCGGGATCATAGTGATGAGAAAATTTTAGGGAAAAATGTTTATGATATCCAAAACTCCCAACAGCCAAACAAGTAAATGTTGAGTTATGTCCTCTGAACTTCTGGAGGGCAAATTAAAATTCTTAGAAAAAAGAACACTGGTCCCATGATCAGAAGCTGATTCAATAATATTGACTAAGCACATAGTATATGCTAGGCACTGTTCTACGGCTAGGGATACAGCATTGAATAAAGCAAAGTTCCTGTCTTTGTGGACTTACAGTTTAGTCAGGGGAGAGAGGAACAAAAACCAAATAAATATATAATATAATGTCAAATAGTGATAAGTGTCATTTAAAAATAGAGCAAGCTCTTTGGAGAAATAGCTGATTCTAGAGCGAGGACAGGAAATATACATAAGCTTGAAACATTTTTGGTGTCAGAAAGTAAGGAAGTGCTTAAAAACAATAACAACAACAACAAAAAACAACCCACACTCATGGGAGTATGTCGAAGTGGCCCAGGAGCAAACTGACAGAGCTCCCAATGGCCAAAACTGGAATAATTTGAGCAATTAAATAAAGTAGTAGTAAATTATTACCCAAGGTGAAAAATAAATATCTGTGTGTCCATGTGATGTAAATAAATAAATGAAAATACAAGTCTCCCATGCAAAAGAATTCCCAATCATTTATGTAGCTAATTCGCCCTGAAGGAGGTGGAACCTAACTCCCACCCCTTTAGTATGGGCTGTGCAAAGTGACTTCCTTCCAAAGGCACAAGGTAGAAGGCCGTAGTGTGCTGGCCTGCCCAAGGTCTCATCCCGGCTCTTCCACATACTAGCTGCACGCCCTGACCATGAATAACATTAAACTGGTGATCTTTCGGTGCATGGGACAACCGATGCTCAGCCAACTGAGCCACACCGGCCAGGGCTGCACTCATATTTTTTTAAAGTCAAGAAATAGATAAAATGGCATAGAACTATACCCACACATTGTACCAATGTCAATTTGCTGATTTTGATATTGTATTACAGTTAAGTAAGATGTCCTCTGGGGGAACCTGGAAGAAGGGTATTTGAGACCATTCTGTACTATCTTTGCAACTTCCCAAGAATCTATCATTATCTCACAATAAAAAGCTTAAGAAAAATGCTTTTGTTCAGGAGAAGAAAATAGCAGATATTTTAAAGGTTTTAATTGACTACAATACTGTGATGTGGTTGACAAACTAATCTGGCTAGAATTCATGGAAGACTCATAGATACAAAGAAGAGATTGACGGTTGCCAGAGGGGAGTGTTGGGGGACTGGGTGAAAAGGTGAAGGGGTTAAGAAGAACAAATTGGTGGTTACAAAATAGTCACAGGGATGTAAAGTACAGCATAGGGGATATAGTCAATAATAGTGTAATAACTGTATGGTGCCAGGTGGGTACTAGAAATACCCAAGGGATCACTTTATAAAGTATATGATTGTCTAATCACTATGTTGTATACCTGAAAGTAATACAAAATAATACTGAATGCAAACTGTAATTTTAAAAAAATAATTCTAAAGGACTCCAGAAGTACCACTTTATTTTGTTTACATCAATCTGCATCTGAAATGGCAATTCAGCGTCCAGACTGAAACACACTGACAGCTAGACAAAACACCCAGAATTGGAAGGCCCTATCATATAAGATATAGTTGAAGTAAAGATATTTAACCAAGTAAATTGCAGACTTCCAAGAGACATAGCTGCTGTCTTCTAAAACCTGATAGACTGTCATTTGGTAATCAAATTCAGGTGTCATTGACATCCCTTTAGCTACAATAAACTTACACTTTTTCACAAAACATGAAGTGTTTTTAAAGAACACAGAGAACCCATTTTAGCTGCATTATAATTTCTCATCTTTTAAAACAACTGAAGCGGAATAAACTTAGAATATCAAAATGTTCTTCCAAATGAATCTTAATTGCTATTTCACTTGTTTGAAACTGTGTCACTTAGTTTAAGGAGCCTCCACTTTATTGCCACCACCTTCAACCATTTCTTCCTGCAACTATGTCAAGAGCTATTAAGATATAAGACCTGTCACTCATACTTAGGGACCAAATGTCTCAGCCTTTCAGATGGGACCAAAAAGTTTTATACTAAATATCTGCCTTGACTGTCAAGGAAGGGGGTACACCTTTCCTATTTTTCTTTATCTGTGGAGGGAACATAAGATGGATTTCATGCTTCAAGGTTAATATTGCTATCAATTTATTAATTTACATTATACACTGAAGTGAAGGTTACACAAAAATTTAAAAAGAAAGAAATTATTTGACACTTTGCTATTATAAAAGGCTACAAAAAGTATGATGATAAAACCCAATGAAAAGAATCTTGCAGACACTCATTTCCATATCCTGATCATGCCAGAGGCCTTGATCGAGCAGTCTCACGATTGTGAGCCTATTCTGTTGGCTGATGAATTTTTCTATTTATGACCCAGCAGAGAGCCTGAGATGAGTGTGCTGCTTTGGCCAAAAAAGCAAACAAAACGCTGAACATCACGAACCAGAAACAAAACAGTGAACATTATTCTTCCTTCAAACACAACCAACTCTTGCTCCACCCGAAAGGGACAGTGTGTGTGGTTCTGGATGCTAGCTGACTGAAAAGACACCCAGAAACAATAACTCGAGAACAGAATGAAGCCAAAAAGGGGGTTTGCACACTAGGGCGTGCCAGGTTTTATACTAAAGGGGACTGTGTTAAGGGGGCTTTATTTGCATTATTTCAAATGGATAAGACTCACAGCCACCTTATGAAGCGAGGTGATACTACTGTTATTCCCATTTTAAAGCTGGGGAAACTGAGGCTTACAGAGATTAAGAGAGTAGCAAAGTCAACTAGAAAGTGACAGAGGTGGAATTTAAATCCACATCTGTTTTGATTCCAAAGACCATACATTTAACTACTATGTTCTATTTAATGATTACTGGACATGAAGCATCAGTACAGTGTCCATTCTCCCCGTCTTCATCTAGAGCAGTGGTTCTCAACCTTCTGGCCCTTTAAATACAGTTCCTCATGTTGTGACCCCCAACCATAAAATTATTTTCGTTGCTACTTCGTAACTGTAATGTTGCTACTGTTATGAATCGTAATGTAAATATCTGATATGCAGGATGGTCTTAGGCGACCCCTGTGAAAGGGTCGTTTGACCGCCAAAGGGGTCGCGACCCACAGGTTGAGAACCGCTGATCTAGGGAATCACAGGTTCAGAAAATTGAGGCGCTTGCCCATAAGTTATGCTTGTAGCATAACTGAGGCTTGAACCAAGTTCGCCTGACTCCTAGGCCAGGTCTTGTGGCTGTGCCATGGATAAAGGATAAAAGCTGAGAGCGGATATCTAAAAATAGATAGAATGGCATAGAACTATACCCACAAATTCTAGAAAATCACAAAGGAAATAGAGAAAGTAAACTTAGAATCTTCCAATACCCAATAGTGTAAACATACTAGGGCCTGAAACCATTCTGGAAGCTTGAGAGATGCATTTAGAACAAGAGAAAGAAGTGTAATTGTGCACACAGGGCAGTGAACTCACAGAACTCAATGCCCCTAACAAGCAGTAGAGGCTGAGAATGAGGATCCAAACAAGACATTAGATTGTATTTATTTAACATTCTATGTGCTAAACACTGTTCTAGGTGTTTGTTTCGGGTTGAATTAAGCCCCCCTCCCCCATTTTACATGTTGAAGCCCTAAGCCCCATACCCTCAGAATATGACTGCATTTGGAGACCGGGCCGTTGACAGGAGTGATTGAGTTCAAATGAAACCGTTAGGGTGAGCCCTGGTCCAGTGTGACTGGTGTCCTTATAAAAAGAGATTAGAACAGAGAACAAGACACCAGGGGCATGTGTGCACAGAGGAAAGACCATGTGAGGGCAAAGCACGAGGTGGCATCTACAAGCCGAGGAGAAGCCAACTCTGCTGACACCTTGATGCTGGACATCTGCCCTCCAGAACTGGGAGAAATTGATTAAACAACAGGAATTTAAGCCACGCAGTCTGTGGTACTTTGTTATGGCAGCCATAGAAAACCGAGGCATTGCTTTAACAATACACATTCATCAATCCCTATAACCACCTTTTGATGTAGGAACTATTATTATCCCCATACTACAAATGAATAACCTGAGGCTTAGAGGGGTTAAATAACTTCATCAGTGTCACTCACTAGTAAGTGCAGAGCTGGGACAACGTCATGAGTGACGGAACTCAAACGGATTATCACAGGAGCCTGGGCCCTACCTCCAACCTTAGCAGGCAGACTCCGAGAAAGACAAACAGCTCGCACATCGTGTTGCTTCTGCTTCTGGACCGGGTAGATGGAGGCCACAAGCTGGTGTGAGCATTTGTGTGGGCTTCGAAAATGTTGAGGAAGGCACCTGTGAATAACACACAGTGTAAAATAAAGGTCAGAGCATTGAATTGGGCACCAGAGCCCCTGGGCTCAAGTCCAATCCCCGGAGCTCTTCTAATCCCCAGGTATTCTTGAGCAAGTTAAATTCTAAATCTGTTTTCTAATCTGTGAAAAAGGAAATAATATCTGCCTACTACCTGTTGCTTTGGTTACAAGAGCATTTCATAGCATTCACTGTGCTGTGTTCAAAATGCTTAGCATCGTTTCCTTGCATGTGACTGGCTCTCAAATAATGCACAAGAAATGAGCATGGGGGTTCTCAGCATACCGTGCAAATGTAAGGCGCCCTGGTTAACACGGGAAATGACCACTCTTGTTGCATTTTTTTCCAGCCCTGGGTGGAAGGCTGACGAGTCAAGAAGCAAAGCCATGGGCCCAGGTGGCACCAAGGAGGTTGCAGAGGAGAGGGCTATGGTCTGCTCCTGATGATAGGGTTTAGGCCCTGACCTGACAGCCTGCACCCTTCACCTTCCCCTCTTCTGTCTGAGTGACAATTGTTCCCATGTCCCCTTATCTGTAATCTACTGCCTTTGCCCAGGAATCCTTAATATCAGCCAGTCTGTAAGAAGAAAGGGGGAGGGCTCTATAAACTGGAATGGAAGCCTTTGTTTGTGTCCTTCACTAGGGGCAGCCCCAAATCCCGTTCCAGAGAGCCACAATGGGTCCCCAGGAGTCTACTTTGCCTTCCTGGCCCAGGGGAGGAAAGATATTACACCCAAAATAAACACTCAACAAGCACTTTCTCATTGATTCAAAGGGTATGGAATGAGCCCCTAGCACTCTAGCCATCCTGCCACAAACAGCAGCAAATCTCACACACCCATCTACTTATTTATTTATTCATCAATTAATTCATTCATCATATATTTATTGAGTGCCTTCTATTTGCAAATCACTGTTCCAGGTGACTACAAAACAGACAAAGATCCCTGCCCTCATATAGCTTGCATCATTGTTGGGAGAAGGCAATGAGCTAAACAGATATAACTTGTTAGGTGGGATGTGTTGTGGAGAAAAATACGCTAAGAAAGGAGATTACCAAATGCTCAGACACAGGCCTAAAGATGAGAGAGTATAGAGAAGCAACAAGCAGAGAGAAAAGCAGTTCAGGAAGAAGCCGGGCAATGTGCCTGGCACATCCTAGAAACAGAGGCCAGCAAAGCTGGAGTTAACAGTGTGAGAGGTCAGGGTTAAAAGGAGGCCTTATAGGAAGGCCCTAAAATTAGACGGCACTTACTTATGCTCATTACACGAGATGAAAGCATGGATACTGAGTATGGGCAGAAGAGAGACAAGGCCCGATGACAAGTCCAGGAGCAGGCCAACCTGAGACCTCAGCGAAGAGAGGTAAAGGAAGGCGTGGGAGGAAAACCAGGAGGATGTGGGTCCTGCTTTCCCTTCACTGCTCTCTCCAAACTCTCATTTTCTTTTCTGCTCCAGCTCACTCTACCTCTCTAGGCATCACTTTTGGGTAAATAAAGGAGTTTTCTATCAAAGTGCATGAGCCAAAATAGATATTTACCAGGTAAACACTATCCTTTTAATTGGGTGATTCTTCCACAAAGGCACACAGATCGCTGCTCAGTGCATTCCCTGCAATATGTGGATCAGCTGGAATATCCAGTTACCCAGCTCTGTGGATTCCCAGCCTGGCCAGCAGTGTGGAAGGTATTTTCATTATTGTTGCTGTTGTTATTGTTCAGGGACACTTTGGCCCTGGCTGCACCTCCCTCCTTCCTTCTCCCACTCCCACCCCCTGATCCAGAGGGCAATGAAAGCTCACATCATTTCACGTTGGCCCAGCTGCCAGGCTGGGGAACAGATGTTGTATTGTTAACAAAAGAAGAAAACAAACAGCCCCCTCCTCTGTGTTCCTCCACCTCCCCATCCACCCCCACTTTAGCCCCCTGGTGAGAATGGGCCATGTCGGGGAGAGGAGAGGATGGGGCTCCAGTGAGTAATGCCACCCTCCCTCGCCAAGGCTGAGCCCGGACCGGACCGGAGGCGCACAGAGCGTTCTCCCGGCCCTGTTTACAGCAGACACGGGTTCTGTCAGCTGAGAGGCTGACTCGTGGCTGGTGCCCCGAAGATGCTCACACTGAGTGGAGCATTGAGAGAAAGAAGACAATGACCCTCTTGTGCATGTGGCCAGAAACGAATCTACCTGCATTTGATGGGCAAAAGCCATCACCAAGAGACAACCCAGAGACAGGAGGGAAAGACTGAGGTCTAGCTCTGCGTGCTTGATGATGCCTCTTGCAAGTTTTGAAGAGCCGGGAACGGGGGTTAATTTCTTTTCTGAGGACCACCAGTTTAGAGTCCTCTGCCGTTTCTCCCACTTCTCCTGCAGACCCTTTCCTTGGGTAGGGGTCTGTGGGAGTGGACGGGGGTGGCACAAGCCCGAGAAGGGCAGAGTGAAGGCTAGAAGTGAACTAGTGCATGGAGATGAGGCCAAGTGAGGGCAAGCAGGGCCCTGTCAGCCAGGCTAAGGGCCTGGCACTTGCTTTGAATTTACTAAGTTACAATGGAAAGATCGTAGGAAGGAGAGAGAGATACAGGAAGCAGGTACACAGCTCTGTGTGGCTGCTGTAGCAATCCAGGAAAACCCCTAAGGTGGCATTAGAGTTGGCTCCATTGCTGTCATGAGGCAATATCAACAGGGCTCAGCGAGCAATTAGGCATGGCGAGCGGCAGCTAAGGAAGACCAGGGCCACTGTAAGAACTTACTCAGTGGTTCTAATCCCTGGGAAAAGGTTACACTCACCCACCCTTCTGTATACAACATTCAAAATAAAGTTGATATCTAGCCATACAACAAGTATAAGGAATTCCGGAAAGTTTCTGTGTTATTCTAGGATGGCTACTTTGATATATTTTTAAGCATTTAATGCTTTCAAAATGTTTTGGCTCCCTAATTTTGTTTTCTTGGTGTTTCCAGCAGGTGCCCTTTTGTGCTTATTGGACAGTCCTACACTGGGAAAGAGTCGCGGAATTCATGCGTGGGCCACTAGGTGATAGCACGCCTCTCACAAAGAACAGGAATGCAGGAAGAGGCATAGCAGGAAGCGGATCAGAAGGTGATGAGCTCAGCCTTGGACTGGACTGCGAGTTTGAAGCATCAATGGAGACAGACACTGCCAGAAGGCAGCTGATTAGATGAGTCTGGAGCGGAGATGGCAGACCTAGGAGTCATCAGCACTCATGGGACAAGGGGCGGGGGGCGCGGGGGAGCATAAGGTCATCCAGGGTGAATCTGTGGAGGGGAGGGGTGAGGTCCCAGAGTGAAACCTGCAGAGAATTGGCATATGAGGGATTGGTCAGGAAAAGAAACCTGTTGAGGAGTATCCAGAAAAACTGAGGAAAATTCAGGCGAGAGCAGAGCCCCAAAGACTAAGGAACAAAGGAGGACATAATGAACAGCGTGAAATGCTCTAGACTACTTCAAGCCAGGTAAGAGGATGTGCAGGGCTGGTTGGCACCACTGCACACAACATCAGAGAGGCCACTGGTGGCCGTACTATTGAGAGTGATTTCTGAGGAGTAGTATATGTGGAAGGATGAGTGACCAAATAGAGGCAATGAGTTTACACTGCTAGTGGTAGCTCTAGCAAGGAAGGCGGAGGGGGCGTTTCATGTAAAGATGACAGAGAACACATTAATATCTCACTCGCACCTGCCAGGCAAATGCATAAGACCCACCAGACTTGGAAGCAAGGAGGAGGCTTCCATACATAAATGAGTTTGGAGGGGAAACTTTTCTTTGCACCACCTACAGATGACAGTCAGCTGAGGTCATAGTTTTGTTCGGCTTGGATGTGGTGTTCTAGAAAGTCGGACAAGCATTGATCAGGTACCTACTATGCATACTGGTTAGTGCATGAGCTGCTGGAATTTGGAAACAACAAGCTAAAGGAGCTCCTCGCCTCATGGAAAGAGAAAACTGGTGTCAGAGGCTGCCCACCTACAGTGCGACACACCATTGTTGTTGGCCCTACACAGACAGGGCTTTTGTAAAACTGAACCATCACTTTTTAAAAATCACAAAAAAGCCTGGCTTCTCTCGAAAAACTAGGAAACGTGTGGCCCTTGCCCTGCATTCCCACCAGAAAGCAATTGAATAGAGCAGCAGTTCTCAACCTGTGGGTCGCGACCCCTTTGGCGATCTAACGACCCTTTCACAGGGGTCGCCTAAGACCATCCTGCATATCAGATATTTACATTACGATTCATAACAGTAGCAACATTACAGTTATGAAGTAGCAACGAAAATAATTTGATGGTTGGGTCACAACATGAGGAACTGTATTTAAAGGGCCAGAAGGTTGAGAACCACTGGACTAGAGCGAAGGTGAGGCTTCCCATTACTGAGAGCATCCATTCTCCAAGCCACTCCAGTCCCCAGAATTCTCTATTAGCTGACGCACAGAGAGGACTTCATTTATAGATGCCTAGCCTTTGGGAGGCACTTGTGTTTGTGACTAAACCCCAAAACAACCTAAGTGATGAATTACTCCGTGCTAGGGAAATCAATTGAATTAAATTGTTGAGCAAAGGTTCTTAGACTTGGTCTTGACAAGGAGGTAGAATAAGAATAGGTGGTGGGTGGACAAATGAATGGATAGATCAAAGAATGAAAAGCATAACCCTTGGGTTCAGGGATGGACTTGATGTATGTGAGTCGCAGGCCACGGCTGGAATTGAGGGAGCACAGATCTGGCATCTTTCATTAAAAATCTGAAAACTTCTGGTTGAGACAGCCTTCTGATAACAGCATTAGTCATATAGTAATATTGCAAGAAGCTGCTCCCTTTCAAATAGAAAGTTCATATAACATTGGGATTTTGTATCGATACAATAGTCCCATTCTTGCTTGGCACAATTGTATCAATTCTGTGGGTAGTCATAATATCCAAGTAATCTTTCCTTTTATCTTTTCCAGCTGGTTGTTTGTGTCTATCCCCAAAG